CCAGTTGGTTCGGCACTTCTCACAGAAAACTGTCAGACTTTCCACTTTTGTCCCAGCAATATTTCTTATAATTCCTGGAAGGATATTGAACAACCGTGGACCTCTGATGTTCATACAATGTTCTCTGATTGTGCCTATGGCACCTCTACTCTTCATTTCCTTCCATATCGTTCACCCTCAGCATGTTATTTTCCTGTGTAAATTTGGGCCCTGGCCCTCCAGTATTTTCCATGTATATGTTGCGATGCCTCTCTCGTCTCCTTTCTAGATTACATTTTCGAGTTTTCAGACGATTTCAATAATTTAGGTGCTTTATCGTGTCTGGTGTGTATGTCTCTGATTTCAGATTTCTGAAATCTCAGATTTCAGCCATCTCTCCAGCTCTGAAGGGGAAAGCGAGTATGGAGCAGTACTCAAGACGGGACAGCAGCAGTAATTTGAATAGAATGAGCATTGCGATGGGATCCCAGGATTTGAAGGTTCTCGTAATCCATCCTATCTTTTCTCTACCTGACAATATTTGCTTGGTTATGCTCCCTAAACGTTAAGTCGTTAGACATCATTTTTCCCAGAGTCTTTACATGTTGCTTTCCTACTATGGGCAAACTTGATTGTGTCTTGTACCCTGTATTTTGTTTAATATCTTCATTTTTACCATAGCCAAGTACCTGGAGTTTTAGCAATGTAAAGCATGTTATTTTCCGATGCCCAGTCGAAAACTTTATTAACATCAGCTTGTAGTTTTCAATGTATTGTACAGAAGTAATGTTCATCAACTATTAGCGTGCTTTAATCATCAATCTGACTTATTACAAGTGATACTCAAAGACTACTTTACCAGTCTGTTAAACTACCTTCAAGGTGCATTTTTAGCGTAAATTTAATGCAGGGATATTTAACAAAAGATTCAAAGTTCAACAACTTCCATCGAGATACAGAATTTCATATCAGTTAAATTCTGATTTTGTCAAAGTCTTGAAATTTAGACAGAAAAGTTTCCCCATAATTATTTACACAATTTTGTGAGCACTAAGAACTAGCTAGAACCAAAATAATGTTAAATAAAACCTATTATACAAGTCTATCTTTCTATTATGCAATTATAGACGAACTTTAAATTTTGGTAATCAGCGGGAGTGATGGGCAAAACCCAAATCTCTTAAGTTGCGACTTAGAAAAACGTCAATTGACTTGAGCCGCACCGACCTCTGAAACCCCGCATTCATAATTTTTTTTTCATACAAAGGTCATTGTGGCAGGTAAGCGCCGGGCCGATGGTGGTGACCAGATTGATGGTGCGAGTCTCGCACCTGCACCATCAGGGGCAGAAGAAGGATGATGGAAGTCTTGAGTGTTATAGGAAGGGTGGGAGCCACCACCTTTGGTGTTATAGCTATAGCTCCTATAGTTATAGCTCCTTGGGAGATATAACTGCTTTACTTCTCTTTTTGTTCCTTGTCCTTTGTAGGAGTAGGTTTTCGGAACTTTATTAGTTTGAAAACTTTTTCAGCGTCAGTAGTTAGTAAATGGAATGCACTAGGAAGTGATGTGGTGGAAGCTGACTCCATACACAGTTTCAAATGTAAATATGATAAGAGCTCGAGAAGCTCGGGAATCTGTACACCAGTAGATTGACGGTTGAGAGGCGGGACCAAAGAGCCAAAAGCTCAACCCTCGCAAGCACAACTAGGCGAGTTCAACTAGGTAAACACACAAAGAGAGAGGGGGCACCCAAGACACTGGCTCCCAAAAACATATGCAAATCGTGTGTCTGTGCATAAAAACCTCCGAATTGCCAAAGTCCACCAATTGGCTACTAAGAAGCCACAACACCTGGTCACGCGCCATTTTAAGATCATGGATGACAATATAATTCACACCTAATTGTTTGATGCCAATCTGTAACCATAGCCTTTCACTGTACGATGGGCCATTACGCTCCAACCCACAATTCCCTAGAGACTTAAGGTGTCTCTCGAGTACAATATTCAACACGATGCACCCTCTCCAACTAAACTTTTTCGCTGCCTGTGTATCACTAAACGGCGATGCAAAAACCAGTTAAAGGTATGATCTTTCTCTCTCTCTCTGATTTACATAGGAACATAAGAACGACGATAACTGCAGAAGGCCTATTGACCGAAACGTCTTCGTCCCTTCACCTTCTAGTGTGTGGTCTGGTCAACATACTTCAGCCACGTTATTGTGACTCATCTCATCGCCTGCAACAATATTGGATAATGTCCCGTTCATACTGGAACTGATGATTTAACCCACGTCCAGGCCACTCGAGATAGTGAGTGGCCCCACAGGTAAATTCAGGTATGTTTATCAAGTCAAATGGCGAGACGGGAGCATTAGAGGCTAGAGATGATATTGGCATACAATAGTGGGACGGAGAAAGAAGAGGGGGGTGTCCTGTGGACTAACAAGCCTGGACAGCAAGACAAGATGGAGTTGGGTGGTCTTGTGTGCCAAACAGACAATGGAACACCATTAATATACCTTGACGGCTGTGATCCAGACAGCAGCCTCTGGCCCACCCCGCCATCCACAGCGAGAAGCCGTCATCCAATCGCCATTCTCTTTTAGTCCAAGCCCTTACTGCTGCTGCCACCACATCGTCTCAGCCCTCGCCATCTGTACCTCTTGTTGTTTTCTGGGATCAATGTCCCCGCGGCCCGATCTCTGACCTGACCTCCAGGTACCACATTCACCCCTCTACTCTCATCCTTGTTCTATTCGATCTTGTTCAAAGTAGTCTTCACCACCACCAATAAACAAAAACAATATAGCCGTTGCGAGAGAGAGTAGTTTATAAACAGGACGTTCAAAGCAAACCCTTCCATAAATATTATGGTTGCCACGCTTCCCGGAAAAAAAATCCTACAAAACTCCAATTTACAAACTGCGGAGAAGTGTAAAACAACCAACGTGGTTTATAGTTGTCCAAGATCAGCAACACAAAACTCAAACCAACAAAGTCAAAACCCTACCCATATAGTGTTAGTGTTATCTTGAGGTTACCTTGAGATGATTTCGGGGCTTTTTAGTGTCCCCGCGGCCCGGTCCTCGACCAGGCCTCCACCCCCAGGAAACAGCCCGTGACAGCTGACTAACACCCAGGTACCTATTTTACTGCTAGGTAACAAGGGCATAGGGTGAAAGAAACTGCCCATTGTTTCTCGCCGGCGCCTGGGATCGAACTCAGGATCACAAGTCGAGTGTGCTGTCCGCTCGGCCGACCGGGTCCCTAGTGTGCAGTAGTTTTATTACGGATTCAATAGCCATGGTGTGGGCGGTGGTGGGAAGGTTACATACAGGCACATTATGGGGTCCAGCAATGTGAGCCGTAATATTTTCTACAGCGGCCCCTAATTTGCATCTGTGGTGAACTAGTTGAGAATTTTAATTTGCCAATCAACCAGCCCAACACCCATGAAGAGGGTGGTGGGGTCAAGTTTAGTCACGTGCACACACTCCATAAAGTGCACACACCCCCCTGTACATCGCCTTATAATACAGCAATATCAATTATTTTAATTATTTTACATTCTAAGAGACTTCGGAAAATACTGATTTGAGTTCTGAAGACGTTGTCAGTTGTTCTATATGTAAGGGTCGCCAAATTGTTTCAATCGTAGGTCAAACAAATGTGCCTGGCCTGAACCTTTAGTGGGTTCTGGAAGTTCTTATACTCTCCGAGCTCATGTAGGTTTGGTCCAACAGACTGTTGCTTGGAGCGTCCCACAGGCCCGCATATCTACTACAAACCGGTTGGACCGCCACTTCTTGCAGTAAACCACATACGAATGTGGGTGAAATGTGGGCCAATCAATATACGCCTTCTGCAGTTTCCACTATTCCTATGTACTTAATGATAAAAACAATTTTGGTTGTTATCAGAATGTAAGGCTCAGGTCTGGAGCCTCGGCGCATCATTCATCATATGTTGATGGTCAGAGATAAGCATGACGGGTTGGAGAGTGGCGTTCCCGGCCTGGTAGTGCGGGCCTGGTTTATCACTGCCATCCCTGACACATCACACGTCCAAAACCATCAGTTATGGCTACAGTCATACACAAGGAGGCTCAGGCTATACAAACGGACACTTAATTATTTATAATGACTTGCCCGCTAGATCATAACTAGTGCAATGCAAACTGATTCATACGTCAGAATGCGAGCAGCGGCGTCTAACAGCCTGGTTGACCAGACCACCAACCAGGAGGCCTGGTCAGAGAATGGTCCGCGGGGTGCATTGATTCCTGGAACCGTCACAAGGTAGGTACTTCACCTTATCTTGCAGTTACCTTGCGTTGATTTCGGGGATCAACGTTCCCTCGGTCCGGTCTCTGACCAGACTTCCTGGACTGTGTATAACCGAGTTCTTGTAGCCCACTTACGGCCTCTGCTCACAACCGAGGGACCTGGGTTCAATCCCTGGGCATTGTAGAAACGGTTAGGCACATTTCCTTTCACTTAGCTGTAAAATTCGTACCCAGCTGTTGGGAAATTGTTGGGTTGCATCTTGGGGAAAGGTCAGCAGATGGCCTGAGTAGGGTAGGATTGGGGGGGGGGAAGACTTTGATAGGCCTATGCACAGGGAATTATCACCCGTTACAGTGCTAATAATTGTACTAACAAGATATTTTTAAGACCATTGTGGTCTAATCTGTGACGTTCCTGAGAAGCCTAGCTATTTTTTTTTTGGCGCGGGGGGGGGGTGAATCAATGTCCCTGAGCCCGATCTCGATCCAGGCATGCTGGTTGGACGTCTGGTCAGCCAGATTGCTAGTCGCCGCTGATTGTGGGTTCGATTCAACCTAGAACTGGTAAACATTACCATGACAGGATGAACAACCCAGCGGGTTTTCTTCCTATTGGGGAGTGTTGTACATGCTGCTATGGCGGTATGTCCACTCAAGATGAGTAGCGCTGCCCAATAAACTCGCCCCTCGGGGCAAAATTAAAAAAAAAATTACCAGTGTGCGACTTACCTTGCAGCATGGATCTGTAGGCACAGTCTGTGATGGCGAACACGTGCGGTGGCATTTCGTGTCGCTTCTTGCCTTTGTACATTTCAATCACCTTCTCCGTGTAGATGGGCAGCCGGCGGTATGGGTTCACCACCACGCAGAAGAGGCCGGAGTACGTCTGTAAGTAAACATATATATTATCTATCTATCTATACCTCCTACATATTCATTGGTGTATATATACATAAAACAAATTTCTTTGAATGTGGAAGTGTACATAAATAGTCATGTCATCACTATTCCCCTTATGTCATCACTAATTCGCTCACAGGCGATACATTTGGAACACCTCTTACCTGCATACCTTAAAAAAAACTATTAGTATCTACTGGTTTTGGACATGCAAGGGTTCGTTAAAGATTGTTAATCTTTCGTAAATTTTGCTAGTCACGACTTTAATCGTCGGAAGTCAAAGTTAACAAAGGAAGGCCTACCTGGAGAGGTTTCGGCAGTTGTACCCCGAGCTCGGCCAGGGGTCAGGCTCGCCCGGGCATATGGCAATGTGATCAACAGAAACGAGGGCCATTAAATAGCTAAACATAAGTATATGACAAACACAAAGGGAATACATGATACAGGAAATTAAGCTAACGCATCTATCTCTAAGCAATTAACAAATAATGAACAGAATACTGTTCATTACAGATTACAAAGGCACTTACTGCAATATTTCACAAATTTTGTTATTCTTCGCCAGTACAGATACATCTTTTAATTCTATGTTTAAGCTAATACACAAGCCACGACTCAAAAGCCACCTTAAGAGTGATTTGTCCCATTACAAATGTCTGTCAACGAATGCTCGCATAAGCTCTGACAAACAAATTGTGACACCAGCTCTTCACATATGTCAGTTGCTTAATTTAGAAACTGTACTTGAGGTCGATCTCGAACCCATTGTTGATGTGACGACTTATATTGAATTTTGTAACTAGCTCATCAAGATTGTAACTTGCTTAGCTAAATGAATTGTGGGGTTCAGTCCCTGAGCCCATTATGTGCCTCGGTAACCCTTTCCACTACCGCCCACAAGATGGGTATGGGGTGCATAATAAATGAACTAAACTAAAAAAAAAACTAAACTAAGCTCTGCCTCATTTGCTCTTCTCCCACAATGTTTCACTCAAAATCTCTCTCAAAGCCTTAGGCCAACCTCTACAGGGCCCAGCCACTCACATACAACCCATGAGTTAAACACAAAATGATTGTTCAGACCAGCATTTTTTTTGGTGGTAAGGGGGAGGGGTGCGGGGGACCTATTTTGAAAATAGGTCTCACCCTCCACCAAGCGTTCTTACTAATGGTAGGTGATTACCGCTGACAGCTTTCGTACACACCCAGACTTAAACCTGTATCCTGGCCCCAGTACCACTCGCACTATAGTACACCAACCCCAGAAATTGCTATGCAAATAGGTGAAATGACTTCTAACGAGACCAACAGACATAGCAGAATGTTCAATACAGCCCTAGTATAGGAGCATCCCGTCGTTTTGAGCACTCGCATCACTAAACTCGTGTGCTAAATTACCCCGAACCTAACCGAGGACCCGCGAATAGAAAACGGGACATCGTCAATTTTAACAGCTATATTTAATTTTAACAATATTTGCCCACGGGTTTGTAACGTTCATTAAATACAATGGGCATTAATAAGTGACAACAGAGTTTACCTGGATAGGGTTACCAGAGTTATTCTACACTCTGGTGTATTCTGCACACCTGGTTGTTGTTGCTTTAGGTTTAGCTACTCAGAACGAAATGTCCATGTAGCACGGGCTATGGTGAGCCCGTAACGATCAACACACCTTAAGCCAGGCCTTTTATACCTCAAAAAGGAAATTTAATCAACAGGAGTGTGGTGGTCTACCGGACTACGGGAACCAACCATGTGGTTGACAGGAGCCTTCAACCCGAGGTTCATACCGAGACCGGGCCATAGAGACAATGATCCACGGAACCGCTTCAAAGTACTTGTGTTTAATACACAGTTGTTGCTGGCTACGGCGAGGCTCTGGGCCATCTAAATCACCAACAGGTACTTAACACATGTCAGCCTAGACCGATACAGTAACAGCCCACTTCACACACTTGGCATGAACCACCCCCCCCCCCACGAACTGGGTGCGTCCTGAGCACACCCCCACCCCGCACCCCAATGACCTGGGTGCTTCATTGGCACCTCCCTCCCCGCACCCCAATGAACTGGGTGCTTCATTGGCACCTCCCACCCCGCACCCCAATGAACTGGGTGCTTCATTGGCACCTCCCACCCCTCCACCTCAAAGAACTGGGTGCGCCCCAATCCTCCTAACGCGTGTGGTGGACCAATAGACTGGTGGGGCGTGTGGTGGACCAATAGACTGGTGGGGCGTGTGGTGGACCAATAGACTGGTGGGGCGTGTGGTGGACCAATAGACTGGTGGGGCGTGTGGTGGACCAATAGACTGGTGGGGCGTGTGGTGGACCAATAGACTGGTGGGGCGTGTGGTGGACCAATAGACTGGTGGGGCGTGTGGTGGACCAATAGACTGGTGGGGCGTGTGGTGGACCAATAGACTGGTGGGGCGTGTGGTGGACCAATAGACTGGTGGGGCGTGTGGTGGACCAATAGACTGGTGGGGCGTGTGGTGGACCAATAGACTGGTGGGGCGTGTGGTGGACCAATAGACTGGTGGGGCGTGTGGTGGACCAATAGACTGGTGGGGCGTGTGGTGGACCAATAGACTGGTGGGGCGTGTGGTGGACCAATAGACTGGTGGGGCGTGTGGTGGACCAATAGACTGGTGGGGCGTGTGGTGGACCAATAGACTGGTGGGGCGTGTGGTGGACCAATAGACTGGTGGGGCGTGTGGTGGACCAATAGACTGGTGGGGCGTGTGGTGGACCAATAGACTGGTGGGGCGTGTGGTGGACCAATAGACTGGTGGGGCGTGTGGTGGACCAATAGACTGGTGGGGCGTGTGGTGGACCAATAGACTGGTGGGGCGTGTGGTGGACCAATAGACTGGTGGGGCGTGTGGTGGACCAATAGACTGGTGGGGCGTGTGGTGGACCAATAGACTGGTGGGGCGTGTGGTGGACCAATAGACTGGTGGGGCGTGTGGTGGACCAATAGACTGGTGGGGCGTGTGGTGGACCAATAGACTGGTGGGGCGTGTGGTGGACCAATAGACTGGTGGGGCGTGTGGTGGACCAATAGACTGGTGGGGCGTGTGGTGGACCAATAGACTGGTGGGGCGTGTGGTGGACCAATAGACTGGTGGGGCGTGTGGTGGACCAATAGACTGGTGGGGCGTGTGGTGGACCAATAGACTGGTGGGGCGTGTGGTGGACCAATAGACTGGTGGGGCGTGTGGTGGACCAATAGACTGGTGGGGCGTGTGGTGGACCAATAGACTGGTGGGGCGTGTGGTGGACCAATAGACTGGTGGGGCGTGTGGTGGACCAATAGACTGGTGGGGCGTGTGGTGGACCAATAGACTGGTGGGGCGTGTGGTGGACCAATAGACTGGTGGGGCGTGTGGTGGACCAATAGACTGGTGGGGCGTGTGGTGGACCAATAGACTGGTGGGGCGTGAGAGACCCAATAGACTGGTGGGACGGCAGGGAGCGTGGAGACCAAGAGAGAATGGTGGGACGGTGTTCATTATGTAAACACCCGTGTGGATGACGTCACCCCCACACTCAAGTCTCACCAGCAAACATCCGCCTCCCACAACGCTCTCCCCCACATTCCCTAGCGCCACTCCTACCAGCGGAGGTCTCATCGCACCAGCCTCACCACACAGCGCTGCTCGAGTTTAGGTAAATTTAAATTTTGTCCCGAAGGGCGAGTTTATTGGGCAGCGCCACTCATCTTGTGAGTGGACATACCGCCATAGCAGCATTTACAACACTCCCAATAGAAAGAAAACCCGCTGGGTTGTTCATCCTATATTACCTGCTTGATGGGGTTCTGGGAGTTCTTCTACTCCCCAAGTCCGACCCGAGGCCAGGCTTGACTTGTGAGAGTTTGGTCCACCAGGCTGTTGCTTGGAGCGGCCCGCAGGCCCACATATCCACCACAGCCCGGTTGGTCCGGCACTTTTTAGAAAACACTCTTTTCACAAGAGAAAGTACAAGAGAAAGTTTTCTCTTGTACAGTACCTAGCAAGGGGGTTATAAATCTCCTAACATGTTCTGGAACTGGGTGCCAATGTTCATTAGGCTACCGCATTTGTGGTGCCTAGGATTAATTTCCCACAAATCCGTGACCGAGTTACAAGGACAGTGATATAATTACAGTATTGTAGGCAATGTTAGGAGTGTATCACGAGATCCAGATCCTCTTCCAAGAATTTCACCGCCCCATCCTTCTTCCTCCCATATCCTCTCCAAGCTCTTTGGACATCAAAGCTCAAAGAGTTACGAAATTTACAGTGGAAGTTTATGGTATATTTGCTACTGTATTTACGATAGCCTCGAGTTTGCTGCCTAGGCAAGCATTTATGATACTTTGGAATAATTTTGGGTAAACTTTAATCCCAATGTAAGCCGATATTTAACATTAGTGATATTTTTTTAACCAATTTAATTTGTTCTAACTTTGTAACATTAATTTAAGCATTCACTAATTCTTAAGATTTTATCATTTAAAATTGATTACTAGAAATCACCACATCAAAGCCCTTGAGCATCGCCACCCCGACGCTACCTGGGGGGTGGCTATTCCCCTTGGATGATCCTATGAAACGCTACATGCAGACTGATTGATAAAGATTAAGCCACCCAAGAGGTAGCACGGGCATGAATAGCCCGTAAGCTACATGCAGAGGCAGTCAACACACTTATATCGTCTACTATCGGCTCCTAACGCTGTGCTTGGGCTCGGGAACCTGCCTCCTGCCTGCCGTGCGTCCTGTCCCCTCCAAGCATTTCCGCACACGCCGTCACTTCCTCCGGCGGCATTCGTTGTCGTCGCTGCTGTTGTCTTACAAAGGCGCGATTCACGAAGCAACATCCGTCTTGGTTGTACTGGCTTCCTGTGCCTCCACGCCTACCTGCCCGAAACGCTGCGCGTACTAGTGGCTTTACAAGATTGTAAATACTATGCTATGTATTCTCACAAACCCAATGT